ACCACTACTACATAAATTAAGATATCTCAGATTGGGGTATGCTTTAAGCTGATTTAATGCTCTATTACTAAAACCCACACAATTTTCGAAATTCAAATGAATTATGTTTGGGCATGTTCTTACGATGCCTTCAATTTTCTTACTTGAAAGTGGATTATAGTATGGAATTTCGAGATGGGTTAGTTTTGAGCTATAAATTGGCTTTTGCTTCCCACATACTAATTCTATGAATTTCTTTGCTTTGGGATCGTTCCCCTTTAGCTCAATGCGTCTCCATAGAATAGGGGCACCGCATCTGTACCACAATCGGGAAACATATAGAGCGGGATAGAGGGATTTATCTATCGCTAAAAAATGTAAAATATATTCTAATAGTTCTGGTAAATAAAAGATGTTTGATTGCGCCATAAAAAATATATGCTGTATCTTTAAACAAAAAATAAAATTACATTATTATGCAAAGCATCTTCGGCCTGCTCCGGATTGTTATTCTCATTTTACTTCTTTGAATGGGATCGCAAAATTATCGTTCTAATAATAGTTTTGAATTGCATATATCCAAAGTTGCACCATTTTCTTGAAACCATGGCATTTCTAATACTAAATCAGAATAATAATCAGGCCAATCCGGTCCAAGAACTATGAATGCAACGGGTGTGATCAGAAAAAAATCCCTCCAGATCAGATTGTTTGCGAAATCCTAACGCTTGTTTTAACAATGTCCATTCCTCATTAGTTCATCGTTAACATAATCATGTATGGACTTAATATCTCTTGGTGCATCAACTGACATTCTCAGTCTCCTTGACACTACATACATCCCGGGATATTCACAAAGAGAGGGTGGTGTTATAGTACACACGAAATTCTCAACATGAAAATTTGGATTAAGTGAAACGAGCGCTTCTTTGCTAACATCACACCCTTTCAATTTGAGATACTTTAAATTAAGACATGAACTAGCAATTTCTTTGATAATCTCATTAGTAAATTTGCAATAGCTAAATTCAAGATGTTGAAGCCTTGGGCAAGAATGGATAATATCACAAATCGATATCCCAATAATCTCTGTATGACAAGAAATATTTAGATATTCTAGTTTATGACATGATCGTGCAATTGCACATAGACCTTTATCAGTTACTTTCCCACCATTAGAGTATTCGTACCTACTCTTTTGCAAATTGAGATACTTCAGATTAGGGTATGTCTCTGCTACTCGATTTAATGTTTTATCGCTAAATCCTGTGCTAAAATTTAAATCTAAATGGACTATATTTGGGAATAAACGCGCAATACCATTGAATTTTTTATCTGAAAGTGGATGGTAGTTTGAAATTTCTAGATGAGTTAGATTTGAGCTATAAACTGGCTTTTGTCTTTTTCGTACTATTTTCATGAATTTTTTCAATGGAGAGTGACATTTATTTTCCCACTTTAGCTCAATGCGTTTCCATAAAATAGGGGCACCACATCTGTACCATAATTGAGAAACAAATAGGGCGGGATACAGTATCTTACATCAGGAAATTATATAGTGCGAAAAGTTGCGCAAGTTTACACATCATAATATTTCGTAAGCTTCCAGACCCGCCGCAAGTTTGCGTAAG